CACAGCAACCTCAAACTCTTGGGCTTAAGTGATTCTCTTGCCTCAGGCTCCCAAGTAGCTGGGACTACAGGCACCCGCCACAACACCCAGCTATTTTTTTTCGTTGCAGTGGTCATTGTTTTAGCTGGACCTGGCTGGGTTGGAACCGGCTAGCCTCGGTATGTGGCTGGCGCCCTACCCACTGAGCTAGGGGCGCTGCCTACGTGCAAATTTTTTTTCAATGAAAGTTACACTGAGGGCGGCACCTGTGGCTCAAAGGAGTAGGGCACTGGACCCATATGCTGGAGGTGGCAGGTTCAAACCCAGCCCCAGCCAAAGACTGCAAAAAAAGAAAGTTACACTGAGGCCAGGTGTGGTGGCTCACGCCTGTAATCTTAGCACTCTGGGAGGTTGAGGCAGGTGGATTGCCTGAGCAAAAGCAAGGGTTTAAGATCAGCCTGAGCAAACGCAAGACCCTGTCTCTACTAAAAAAAAATAGAAAAACTGAGGCAAGAGGATCGCTTGAGCCCAGGAGTTGGAGGTTGCTGTGAGCTATGAAACTACGGCACTTTACCTGGGGTGACAGCTTGAGACTCTGTCTCAAAAAAAAAGTTACACCGAATGTACCTGCCTTCCCTTTATCTCCTCCACCCCTGAAACAGCAAGACCAATACCTCTTCTTCCTCCTCAGCCTCTTCACATGAAGATGACAAGGATGAAGACCTCTAGATGACCCACTTAAAAGAGTAAATACATTTTCTGTGATATTTGAAATTTTTCCTAGTTTATTGTAAGAATGCAGTATATAATATGTATAACATACAAAATATGTGTTAACTAGCTGTTACCAGTAAGACTTCTGATCAACAGTTAAGTTTTTGGGAAGTCAAGAGTTATACATGGATTTTAGACTATAGGGGGTCTGTGTCCCTAACTTACTCATTGTTCAAAGATCAATTGTAATGTAAATGTAACCTTTTTGGGGGGGGGGCAGTGAGTCTAAGGCTCTTGCACTGGGTAGAGTGCCCTAGTGTCATAGCTCACAGCAACCTCAGACTTGGACTTAACGAGATTCTCTTGCCTCAGCCTTCCAAGTAGCTGGGACTACAGGCGCCTGCCACAATGCACGGCTATTTTTTTTTGTTGTTGTTGCAGTTGTCATTGTTTTTAGCAGGCCCAGGCCAGGTTTGAACCTGCCAGTCCTGATGTATGTGGCTGGTGCCCTACCCACTAAGGTATGAGTGCTACCCCATGTAAATGTAACTTTTATGTGCACTGAAAAACAAAACAAAAATATGTATTTGTGACCCCCTTTATTGCAGTAGTCTAGAACCAAAACTGCAGAATCTCCACTGTATGCCTGTAGCATCCTTACTGGTGAGTCAGTCCACACAGGGAGGCAGGGTATGATGGCTCACACTGCCAATCCCAGCACCCTGAGAGGCTGAGGCAAGAGGATCATGTGAGCCCAGGAGTTTGAGGTTACAAGTTATGATCACAACACTGCACTGCAGCCTAAGTGACAGCAAGGCAAGGTACTCTTTTTTTTTTTCTTCTTTTTTTAATGAGACAGAGCCTCAAGCTGTTGCCCTGGGTAGACTGCCATGGCATCACAGCTCACAGCAACCTCCAACTCCTGGGCTCAAGCGATTCTCCGGCCTCTGCCTCCCAAGTAGCTGGGACCACAGGCACCTCAGCCACAAAGCCCGGCTAGTTTTTGGTTGTAGCTATCATTGTTGTTTGGTGGGCCCAGGCTGGATTTGAACCCACCAGCTGAGGTGTATGTAGCTGGCGCCTTAGCCACTTGAGCTACAGGTAAAATAAAAGTAAAAAGTTTAAATTGGTTAACTAGACATTAACCTGGCAACTACTCAAAGAGGACAGAAGGTGCGCCTGAGCTCAGCCCATACTGGCTCCAAGTGGTAACCAAATTCATTCTCACTATTTCCTAGGAGACTCTTCAATATCCTACTGGGGCATTCTACTAGGCAATCACAAAAAGCTCATTGGACTAAATTTCTCCTTTTATCAAGATGTTGAGCAGTAACGATGGCTTTATTTTTATTTATTTATTTTTTTAAGACAGTCTCACTTTGTTGCCCTAGGTAGAATGCTGTGGTGTCACAGCTCACAGCAACCTCAAACTCTTGGGTTTAAGCAATTCTCTTGCCTCAGCCTCCCAAGTAGCTGGGACTACTACAGGCACCCACCACAATGCCTGGCTATTTTTAGGGCTTCTCACTCTGGCTCAGGCTGGCCTCAAACTCATGACTCAGGTGATCTGCCTGCCTCAGCTTCCCAGAGTGCTGGGATTACAGGCATGAGCCACCATGCCCGGCGACTCATCTGTCTAGTCTTCAACACCTTTTTGTACTTCATTCTTGCCACCTTTCACAAAGGACAGACACACAGTCTGGCATACTATTCACAGAACAGTTTATTGGCCTACCTCACCTGGTAGACCACCCCTACTGACCAGGGGAAGTAGTGTCCTTCTTGCTGCACTCTGCTGGGTTGCAGCTTGTACCATCAGGGGTACCAGGAAAGGGAACACTGACTAAAGCAGCCCTAAATGCCAGAGAACCTGGACAGAGGTCCACAGACTCAACTCCATTTGATGTTCTTGTCCTCCTCAGTCATGCTTGGTGTGTCAGTGACGAGGCCAGTGCCGATGGTCCGGTTGCCATCTCTCAGGGTGAAACGCTGGCCTTTCTCTAAGATCATCGGCTGCCGCAAGATCAGGGTAAGCTTGAGATCTTCCCCAGGCATGGCAAGCTCCTGGAGGGGGCAGAGAAGATCATGCATGGCCTTCAGAGTAGCTTCGTTCTAACTGTAATGAAATGTTGCTGACTACACCTTGGATGTTAAGAGTCATGGGAAAAGTGTCATAGCAACAGGGTGATGGATGATTCTGCCTGGAGATGGCTTCATCTACCCCAGCTGTGAGGCAGATGCAAACAGTATATTCTAAACAAGAGAACATACGACAGTGCCTGTAGCTCAGTGAGTAGGGCGCCAGCCACATACTCTGAGACTGGTGGGTTTGAGCCTGGCCTGGCCCTGCTGAACAATGACAACTGCAACCAAAAGATAGCCAGGCATTGCAACGGGCATCTGTAGTCCCAGCTACCTAGGAGGCTGAGGCAAGGGAATCACTTGCACCAAAGAGTTTGAGGTTGCTGTGAGCTGTGATGCCATACGAATCTACTGAGGGCGACATAGTGAGACTCTGCCTCAAAAATAGAAACAGAAACAAGAGAAGGCTCGGCACCTGTGGCTCAAGTGGCTAAGGCGCCAGCCACATACACCTAAGGTGATGGGTTCGAATACAGCCTGGGCCCTCCAAACAA